AGGAAGTGAGCACGCCCGCTCAGGCTCGTCTCGTGTTCACACACACACACTTCTTATTGTTTACACTAGCCTATCATCACATCCCCCCCCCCCTACACAGTTGCCCTACACGTGGGGTTGTGACACAACTCGTCTACAAGTGTTGTACGGCACCTCTCTCTGCACGGTATAAATACTTGGCTTGAACCTAAACCTAAGGTCAAAGGGGCTTCGTGCAGGCATAAATATATAACTATTTCTATACCGATTTTTAAGCATGCTGACTTTAATGTAAATAATGAAATGTGTTTATTTTATTTATTTGTTGATATACAAGAAGGTATCACGTGAATTAGGGGAAAAAAATGCCCCAGTGTAGCAATGACATAAGCTAGGTAAAACAGTTACGTGAATCATGACAGGAGGTAAATACGCAATGAAATCACAATAGCCTGAGAGATCTACGAGAAAATCCTTGAAGCAGGGACAGTGTGGATTGAACCAGCGTCCCGGGGGGCCGCCCCCAGCCACATGTCACGCTACCCATTGTGTATCTGACGGAAGCGTTTGGTGGCAAACTTCACGATTGACGCCAGGGTGTGTCGGGGGTCACGTGTCAAAATTGGATCTGAAAGAACAAATCCACAAGGGCCGTGACGAGGATTCGAACCTGCGTCCGGGAGCATCCCAGACACTGTCTTAATGGACTGAGCTATGACATGGTCAAAAAAAGTTGAAACCGAAGTTCTACTGAACTTACTGGATAATGCAGCCTCTCCGAGACACAAACCAGGGTTTTACACAACTCCCCCATGTACTCGAGCTATGTCAATAGGCAACCCGTTCTCGCACTTTCGTATAGTCAATATTGACTTATTAAATACGTGCATATGTGACATACTAAACATACTAGTTTACCTTGAAAAGCTTCATAGAAAACACCGACCTTACCTAACCTTCTTAGTATGTTAAGATAAGCATCTTATTGCTTCGTAATTGCAATTATTACTTAACCTATTATAGGTATAGGTTAAGTAATAATGGAATTACGAAGCAATAAGATGCTAATCTTAACATACTAAGAAGGTTAGGTAAGGTCGGTGTTTTCTATGAAGCTTTTCAAGGTAAACTAGTATGTTTAGTATGTCACATATGCACGTATTTAATAAGTCAATATTGACTATAAGAAAGTGCGAGAACGGGTTGCAATAGGCCGTCTCCCTCTTCGCCCTTACTTCGTTACATTATTTCACTTTTCATTACACTTCATTTCATTATTTCTGTGTGTATTGGATCTGAAAGTTCGGGGAGACCCCAGCTTGTGCTGCCTTTAAGCACATCGTGGCCGAATGGGTCTGGGGGTGACTTAAGACGCACGATCGATCCCATCGCCCTGCTCCAAAGATGTTCTCCAACGATGTAAATGTTTCTTGTTTTAGTCTCATCTCTTTATTTAAAAGAAAAAATATCAACTTGATATCTGATAAAAAGGGAATTCAATATTGTTCTCGCATGTGTTAAATGTCCGTAAATAACATTGAGCCTACAAGATATTAGGCTGAAACTTGAAGTTATTGCAGTAAATCTTAAAACAGCGATTATTTAATGTATGAAATAAATTAATTTATTATTAAATTCTCATAGATACATCACGTCATTGATTCCATTGTGTACGTGTAAAGACTGACACTTTTTTTTTAATATATTAGCAAATATGTGACGTGTACAATTGATGACTGAACAAGGTGTGCTGGTGTTCTGTTGAACATGTTGGTAGTGATGCAAGTGACAGGTGTTCAGGGTGTCATGCAGCCAAGGCTATTCACTAATAGAACTATAACCCTAGATAAATGCTGCTCTATTTCTTCTATAGAATGCACTCTTGTTTATCTAGAATTACACTATACTAAAAGGTCTAGTACTATGGATTTTCTGATGCATTATTTGACTGATAAAACTTTATTAAAAATCAAAGCTTGAGTGAAAACCCTTAATTTTCAAAAGTCATTAAATTAATATTTAATTGGATAAACTAAATAATTATCCTTCAAATACTTCATTAGTTATAATTTGAAGTCAATATGAACTTATAATCAGCCATCTTTGTGTTGTGTAATGACAGCTATTTTGCAACAATAAATATATATGTTAACAATAGCCTTATTTTCTAATTAAAACTACCAACACATATCCATTTTCCGAATGTGACTTTCTAGAACTCTAGACCTGAAATCCTAGCAACTTTCCTACCGAGAAGTGAGACACAGGTGAGGAGGAACTTACATCTTTGGAATCTGGATCTTGTCGCCGTCTGTGTGTCGAGCGAAGTCGTGCCAGGAGCGGGCGGGCCTCTGGGAGTTGGGCGAAGTACCGGCTGGCGCGCGAAGGTCAGTCCCCATCAGCGACACCGGCTGGACGATCTCTTCGTAGCCGAAGGTCTGTGGGAGATAAGAGACGGTGGCGGTGAGTGATGGTGCTACGGTGTATGGTCGTGGAAGGCTACGGTGAATGATGGTGGCGGTGTTAGGTTAGGGAACGGGTGCATGGTTGGGGAATGGTGGGATGGGGTGAATGGTTGGGGATGGAGGAAATGAGGGAAGCAAAGGTCTACTCATCTCTTCAGCTCAGTGACCCAATCTCAGGTTACTTATGGGAGTCCTCTCTCTCTCTCTCTCTCTCTCTCTCTCTCTCTCTCTCTCTCTCTCTCTCTCTCTCTCTCTCTCTCAGCTTCACCCTACCTTTAACTCCTGCTTACCAATTTCCTTAAAAAATTCCTATATTTCTTTAAGGGGTAAAATCTCACAAAACATGCTCTACCGACTTCTTAATAATTTATTTTAAAATAACTTCTCCACCTGCTGTCATTACTGATTTTCCAGTTCACTTGCATCTCATCTCCCCGTTCGAGCCCTCCCCCATCCCGCCCCGCTGACCTGGGCGAAGGATCAACTTTTCACTTCCCATGCAAAATAAGCCATCATCAATTTTCCATCTTCCTTTTTCATGGTTGGCTTCAATTTTTACTGGAATTTTGCATACAAATGTTACTTTTTTTTAAGTTTTCTTTGTTTCTTTTCAATTTCATTTCTTTGTCCATTTCTGTTTGTCTCTACTTCACCTCCTTCTTCAACTTCCTTGCTTACTTCTTCTTCTCTCTTCGTTTCTCTATGTGTACCTTGTACACGTGTCAATTCTCCAATGTGCGTGCTTATATATGCGTGTACACATATGTGCGTGCGCATATGAATGTACACACATTCACACTGCAAGTACACATGTGTTGGAGGAGGTGTAGAGGCGTTGGAAAGGTGTAGGGGGTGTAGGAGGAGGGAGGGAGGGGAACTATCAGGAGAAAGCATCAAGCCATTACGACTATGCAGCACTTGGAAGGAGTCAGGTTAAGCATTTGGGCTGGGACGGGAGGTAAGGAATGGTGCCCAACCACTTGGATGGTCGAAGATTGAACGCTGTGACCTGTATGAAGCGAGACCATCGCTCTACCATCCAGCCCAAGTGGTTGGGCAGGTGTTGAAGGAGGTGTACTGGTGTTGGCGAGGAGGTATAGGGGATCGAAGCACTCCACAGCATGACTCCCCGCCATCCGAGACATCAACACAACGCTCAGAACAACAGTTTCCCGCCCAAAAAGCGAGCGGGAAATCCTAAGCGACAGTTTTTCCGCCCATTCCCGCCCCATCCCAAATCCTTATCCTGATCCCTTCCAAGTGATATGTAGTCGTAATGACTTGACGCTTTCTCCTGATAGTTCGTTTCCCCGTCCAAGAAGCCATCGCCCACATGCTACAGAGCGCTGGCGATGTGTGGGGCGTTGGTGAATGTTGAGGTAAAATGTGTTAGCAGCCATTATCAGTTTATCTATCCTCTATCCCGACCCTTCCACAGCCCTGGGCTGTGTCGACACCACGGTGGCGGCTGGCGGTCGATCTCGTGGCGGCTGGCGGTCGATCTCTTCCCCCCCCCCCCCTGGGGGCAGCATTCACCGCATCTCGACTGAAGCCCGTTCAAAAGATCACTATTATGAACCCATCACAATTATGATAGTGTATTATGTTTACACTATCAGCGCCTGAGAGGGAAAGGGGGAAAGATGCTATGATGATATGGAGAACAGAGTTACAAGATAGGGGACGTCGGTCTAGATATAGCGGAAATTTGGAGGTAGGATAACTGGTGCTTGTCGTAGTGTTGTATTGGAGGTATTGTAGTGGTGTTGTGGGGTGTGGGAGAGGAGAATCAAGAAATAATCAAGTAACTTGATTATTTATTGAAACAATCCTATAATCAAAGAAATAATCAAGGTGTAGGAGGGTGTTGAAGATGTTGGAGATAGAGAATATACAGTATGAGGAAGAGAGAGAGAGAGAGAGAGAGAGAGAGAGAGAGAGAGAGAGAGAGAGAGAGAGAGAGAGAGAGAGAGAGAGAGAGAGAGAGAGAGAGAGAGAGAGAGAGAGAGAGGTTGGTATGGGTTTCAATGTGTAGATAATAGGACACATCAATTGATAATGGGGATTGGCAGCCTCCCTGACTACGTGAGCCATTGTGAGAGATTGGCGTGTACCGTGGCCTTAAGAGACGGTACGTGTACCTGCTGGGGGGTGTACCAAAGTGCTTAGCTAATCAACCCCCCCCCCCTGATTTGTAAACACAATGTGTGAGTGTGTGTGTGTGTACTCACCTAGTTGTACTCACCTAGTTGTGTTTGCGGGGGTTGAGCTCTGGCTCTTTGGTCCCGCCTCTCAACCGTCAATCAACAGGTGTACAGATTCATGAGCCTATCGGGCTCTGTCATATCTACACTTGAAACTGTGTATGGAGTGAGCCTCCACCACATCACTTCCTAATGCATTCCATTTGTCAACCACTCTGACACTAAAAAAGTTCTTTCTAATATCTCTGTGGCTCATTTGGGCACTCAGTTTCCATGTGTGTGTGTGTGTGTGTGTGTGTGTGTGTGTGTGTGTGTGTGTGTGTGTGTGTGTGTGTGTGTGTGTGTGTGTGATAGTGACTGATTTACGAACATTATATGTGGTAGTAACCTACTAGCGAACCCTAGTAGGTTACTACTAGCAAACACTATTAGGTAACAGTAACCAACTAGCGAACACTACGCACGGTAGTAACTAACTGGTAAACAATAATTACGGTAACTATTAAACAACTAGCGTGAACAACAGGCCACAAACGACCGAACTACTCTCGTCTATCACACAAAAATCCAATTACAGAACAATCGGTAAATTAAACTTCGCGGATTAATACAATAATACAATTTATGGGATTAACAAAAAATCCAATTTATGGCATAAAATAATATAATTTGTGGGATTAATAACCCCAAGAGTGAAACTCTTATCAGAGAGTGATTATTTCTATTTTTTTACATTCACGAAACTTAATTTAGTAATATTTTAAAGATTACAAATAAGATAAGACGATAGAAATAAAATATTTAAAATGCCTTCTATAGCGCAGAAACTAGTTTAGTACCCTATTTACTAATTATAGTAAAATAACAAAAAAAATATAGCAAGATAATGCAAGGACAAACATTAGATGCACAAAGAATGATTGTTATCTCCACTAGCAACAAAAACACACATTAGACGCACAAAGAATGATTGTTATCTCCACTAGCAACAAAAACACACATTAGACGCACAAAGAATGATTGTTATCTCCACTAGCAACAAACGCACACATTAGATGCACAAAGAATGATTGCTATCTCCACTAGCAACAAACGCACACATTAGATGCACAAAGAATGATTGCTATCTCCACTAGCAACAAAAACACACTTAGACGCACAAAGAACTTTATTAAAACAAAAACTCAAATCAGACGCACAAAGATCTTTATTAAAACAAAAACTCAAATCAGACGCACAAGGAATGTTTGTCACCATGTGTCACTTCAATACAGCGGCCGACCCCCCAAATGAACATGCGAGCATTTAATCATACTGTGTACTTAAACCAGGTATTTCCTCAGATATAAATTAATTGAATTATTCATCGGAATTGTGTGTGTATAGTTAGGTTAGGTTAGGTTAGGTTAGGGTACCTTTGAGATGATTTCGGGGCTTAGCGTCCCCGCGGCCCGGTCGTCGACCAGTCCTCCTTACACCATGTAAGATTAAGTATTTTGATTCTGTTTGCAATTATTTGCATTTATAGCACGTGGTTGAAGCTAAATGGCGGTGTGATTCGAACACAGGAAGTGAACGAACGTAATGATTCCGTTCGAACTTTTTTTGAACGGAATCTTTTGATTCGAACTTTTTGATTCACTCTCGTCTTACTGTGTTCGAATCCCACCTGTCTGAATTCTTCCCCCATGTACCACCAATACAAATAATTCCCAACAGAACCTAAACATCCAACCTAACCTAGGCCTAACTACACACAAAATCCTATATAATGATAATCTGGATATGAGAAAAATGCAGACTTGAAAAATACAAACTTTAAACTATATGAATGTGTACAAATCCACAAGGGCCGTGATGAGGGTTCGATCCTACGTCCTAGAGGATCCCAGACTATGATATGAATGTGTCTTTGTGGTCGGTCACAGTCAGAGGATGTGTAGCTGTCAGTCTCGCTGCGTTCGCTACTGTGTCGCTGTCTCGCTACTGTGTCGTTCTGTCTCGTTATTGTATCGTTCTGTCTCGTTACTGTGTCCCTCTGTCCCGTTACTGTGTCCTTCTGTCTCGTTACTGTGTCCCTCTGTCCCGTCACTGTGTCCCTCTGTCCCGTTACTGTGTCCTTCTGTCTCGTTACTGTGTCCCTCTGTCCCGTCACTGTGTCCCTCTGTCCCGTCACTGTGTCCCTCTGTCCCGTTACTGTGTCCCTCTGTAACGTCACTGTGTCCCTCTGTCCCGTCACTGTGTCCCTCTGTCCCGTCACTGTGTCCCTCTGTAACGTCACTGCGTCATTCTGTCTCGTCACTGTGTCTATCTATTACTCTTATTAGCTGTCTTATTTCTGTCATTATATGGTTGTGTATCGCGTCCTCTTGACTGTCTTAACTGTCTCGTTGCTCTGTCACTCACCACCTTCGTTACAGCATCGTAATGTTTGTGTACAAAGCGACAGCTACTCCACTCCTATAGAGGTGCCTCGTTACTGCCTCGGCAATGGTCTCGTTACTGAGTCGGTAACTGTCTCGTTACTGCATCGGTAACTGTCTCGTTACTGTCTCGGTAACTGTCTCGTTACTACGTCGCTACTGGTCTCGTTATACTGCATTTGTACGACCAATACAGATAATTGCCAACAGAACCTAAAAACCTAACTTAACGTAATTTGTACTAACTAGACACCAAATTTTAATATACATAATGTTGTTTATTTCCATAAGAACATATAACGATTATAGATACAAAGGAGGAACGTTGATGAGTGGGTCTGATGAG